AGAATGATGTCTGGCACAGGGGCAGGGAAGTGGGAGACGCATTTGAGGAGTGCCCAGTATATCTGTTTGGCAGGAGCATGGGGCATGTTAGGGACCAGAGAGAAGGCTGGAAGGATAGGTTTGGGTCTGGGTTGCCTATATGAGTAATTTGGATTTCTTTTTCTCTGCAGTGGGGAAATTTGCCCAGGTGAGTAAAGAGCCACACCTGTACTTTAGGAAAATGAAGTTGACAGTGTGGGATGTGTTGAATGAAGGTGAGGAAGCTGTTTTCGTAGTTGGAGCAAGAAGCAAGGAAAACTAGAATTAGGTGCTTTGGAGGCAGAGAAAGAAAAAATGTGGTGGTGTAGCCTGGCCTAAGGACATGTAGATTTGAGGAAGGAAGAGGAAAACACAAAGATGGAATCCCTGCTTTTATGAATCCAGGAAACTGGAAGAAATAAGAGAGTTGGGGAGAATAGATTTGGGAGTCTGGAAGAAGGGAGGAACATGAGATAACATACTTGCTTTTGGACTTATCAAATTTGAGATTTTGAAATCTCCCAGTGGTAGTGGAAATGCTGAATTATCAGAAAAATGATTGGTGTGATGCCTCCCAAACTTTTCAGGTATAAAGATTGCTTTTTAAGTAAAAGAATTGCAAATATTCATTGATAATTTTACTTTTAGTATTTGTTGATTGAGAATACGTATAATGACAAAAACTACTATGAATTCAGTTAACACCTTTTTTTTTTTTGGTGAGAAGGATTGGCCCTGAGCTAACACCTGTTGCCGGTCTTCCTCTTTTTGCTTGAGGAACATTGGCACTGAGCTAACATCTTTGCCCATCTTCCCCTATTTTGTATGTGGGTCACCGCCACAGCATGGCTGATGAGTGGTGTAGGTGCGTGCCTGGGATCCAAACCAGCGAACCCTGGGCTGCTGAAGCAGAGCACGCCAAACTCAACCAGTACTCCAGTAGGCTGGACCCCGGTTACGCTTTTAAGTGACTTTATATTTTATTGAATCACAAAGTGTATGTTTACTTTCATTTGCAAAGTAGACCTGTGTGTGAGAGGCATCTTTTTTACCAGCAGTAAAAGTGCTTGGTGTGCATTTGGATTTACAGTGCTTGGTGTGCGTTTGGATTTAAGAACAGTTTGCAGTAACTCCGTGGCCTCTGGGCAGTGAACACTGATCAGGCTACAGATAACAATTTGGAGGTCAGTCTACTTTAGGTGATAATTGAAGCCTGGGAGTAGATGAGATCATCAAGGGAGAATATGGAAAGACAATAGAAAAGAGATCTAATATAAACCTTTGGGGGAATTCTTACACTTAGAATATAATAAGGGAAGGTGAAGAGCATTTCAAGGAGTGATGTCAAGCTGGGGGAGGTTAGAGAGAGAGGCCGGTGATACCTTTAGGGTTTTGTGGGGGTCTCACCAGAAGGCAGGCTGTAGCTTCTTGGAACGGCTTGAGGCAGGTTTGAAGGAATGGTTCTTGTCCCAGTGACCATTAAAGGCCTTTGTCCTACCCTAAGTCCCCACATCCCAGCTTGGAGAATGCCAGGGAAGTGGTGTTTCCCACATCCATATTAAGTGCTTCCTGGTGGTTCAAGGACGAAGCAGGAGTTGACCAGTGAAGTTTTCTGGACCAAACTAGTTCCTTATTTGACTTTGCATAGTTTGAATCTGGCAGATGACTGATCCTACCCCTTGAGGAGCCAAAGTGAGTTTGTTTTTTTAAGGTTCTGGAACAAATCATTACCATTTAAAACAAATCAGTGAATAACAAACAACAACAAATGGCCTTAAATCCATTGTTGTGGAATTCCTCTTCCTCTTGAACGACCGGCTGAGGAACATTCATGCTGGTGCAAGCGGAGGTTTGCTGCATGCAGGCTGCACGCCAGCCGTTGCTGTAGCTTCTGAATGCAGTGAGAATGAGTAACTGGTTTCTCTTAACTGTAGAATTCATAAAAAGGTCAGACTCAGCATGGTTGTTCCAGCGTATCTTGAAAAGGCCAGGTAACAGTGGTTTTCAGCTGAGTAGATTTACTGTACTGTTAGCTACCTGGATATACTGTTGGGTTAGGATCCTTTTTATATTGACTTCATGTTGGAGAGATGCAGATAGAAGCTTTCTCTTATTTGACCTTCATGTTGAAGCATGAATAGATACATAGTTCGTAAAAACAGAAAATCTCATCTTATAAAAAATTTCTTTTAAATCAAATCAAGTTAATGTATGAAGTAGTGGGTGTTTAAATTATCACAACAGGCTTTTGTAGGAAACTGAAACATTCTCCTAAAGCAAAAGCTTAGGGAGACAACTCCTTTCCCAGCAGTGAATGTGGGCCTTCAGAAAGCCTGCTGGGACTCTGAATGGCTCACTTATTTGTCTTTCATCTGGTGTCTTGACTTTGGAAATGTACACTTGGTCCTATCAGTCCTGACAGAGCGAGTATATTCACAACTACTTCTTTCTTACTGGTTCATAAGGGCTTTCTCTTAGGAACGAGGGGGTTTCCTTTCTTTCTGGGTAAAGATGAGAAAGAATAAAAGTTGAAAATTAATATTTTTAAAATCATTGCCTTATCTCAGAAGAATAAAACTTAAGTTTGTGTCTTTAGCTCTCCTTTTCTTAAGTTTCTCTTTTATATGTCTTAATAGGTATTCTTATTGCTCATAAAAAGATTCAAAAACTATTCATCTAGATTTTCTCTTGTAATCTTTCTTCTATAATTTGGGGAGTACATTTGGTGAGATAATTGATGACACCATAATCCTTGAAAGGTTACAGTCCTCCTATAAAAAAGATTGTGTGTGTGTACACATATATTTGTACGTGTGTATATGTATTTCTTTGTATGCTCTTGAGTTGAAAGCCTGTGGAGCTATTGAATTAGGTGTATGATGGGAAAGTAAGTTTCGTTTCTTCCACCTCAGACACTTTCTAGAAGCCCTTCTATTTGGTATAATGTAGTTCAGTACAGACTTTCCCTTGTGTCAGTAACTCCAGAGAGCTATGTTTTTGTGGCTTAGTGTCCAGCTGGATGATAGACTCCCTGGAGAGTCTCTCCTGGAGTGGGAGAACAAGCAGATCCTCCTGTGGGTGATTTTGAAGATGCGAGAATGTTTTTATCCGGAGGACTGCGGTGTCATGAAGATGAAAGTGAACTTAAAGAGCCTAGATGATCACAGAACACGTAGGAGTTTGTGGTGCCCAAAGGGTGTACTAAATAGGGATCTTCTAGTGTCATTTGCCAAATTTGCCCAATCATGGGAATCTTCTGGGATGCAACTGAGGGACCTGGGAAACTATTTTTCAGAAGCATCCCAGCTGATGTCCTGCATGTCAGCAGAAGTTACTAGGCCCCAATTCAATCTTTTATGTGTCTCTTGGAAGTCACCTGACATTGCCCTTGTAAAATAAAGAGCCATAAAATTTGAGGAGGTCACTAGTTGATCAAAGCAGATAGTGGATAACACAGAGGTTCCAGGAGCTGGGCTTCCCAGGAGTCAGTCCTTAGGGTGGTAGGGAGATGCCTTCTCCTTAGATGGGATGAATGAGACTAGAATTTTGTGTAGCATTCTGATTGATGGCAAAAAGTGAAAGTCCCAGATTTGGTGACCTCCTGGCCTTCAGGGATGTTCCTAATAATCCCCTGCTTGCATCATCTCCCGGTTAATAATTGCTCTGTACTATTTTGAGTTGAGAGTGGAGCTTCCGTTTTCCTCTGATGTATGTATGCTTTTGGCCTTCTGTAATTTTCTCCATAAAGGGCTGCAGGGTCCTTTTAGTCTTAAGAGTGCATTGATTACAAGTTTGTTTCTCTTAAACAGAAGTACTTGGCCAGCTCCTCTTTGTATGTGGGAGGTCTCCAGGCAACTGTGTAATAACTTTTAAAGGCTGCTAAGGGGTCAAGAAGTACTTTGCTGGGTCTTGTTCTATCTCTTTAAAGGCAGGCTTCTCTGTTGTGCTTGGCTCCTGAAACTGTTTCTTCCTTACTCTGTCTTAGGCTCTCTGCTGCTTCTTTGGAGGGCTCGCCCACCCTCTCTGGTTTCATGCTGTATCTCTAACCTGTATACACACTTAGACTCCAGGCTGTTATCTTGAATGCAGGGCAGTTCCTCTTAAGCATTCTACCTTGTACCATGTTCAAGTGCCATGTGTTTGAAAGGGAATCCCATCATCCTGAATTTTCTGTATCCCCAATGCCTGTCACAGTTATAGACTCTGACATGTGTAATCCCATAGTCATCTCTAACTCTTCTCTTCCTGGAACCACAGAAAAGTGTCAATAAATGGTAACTCTTGCCTCTTCTTAGTCATTTACACATTAAGTGATCACCAAGTCTTGTCATTTATTTGTTTGAATTTTTCCTGCCTCTTTTTTTCTCGGTTCCTAAATATACCACCTTCTATCTTCTCACCTCCAATTCATACTGAAATCCATCTTCCTCTGCCTGCCAGACTAATCTTGCTAATTTTTCTGTATAAAATGGGAAGAACTGTACCTATGTTGCAGGGCTGTCATGAGGATTAGACATAACGTAATGCAAAGTGTTTATCATACTGTCTTACACAAAATCAATGTTCAGCAAATGGTAGCCTCATATGCTTCTTACCGCCTCCTGACTTTGCTTATCCTTCACTTCACCTCTGTGCATACTATGGAGGCAGCAAAGTGAATAGTCAAAAACATGGAACATAGAGCCTTGGTTTGAGTCCCCAGACTCCTCCTTAACTAGTTGTGAGATCTCAGGCAGATTACTTATCTTCCTTGAGCCTTTATATTTTTCTCTTTAAAATGAAAACAATTATACTGACCGTTAGGGTTCTTGGGAGTGTAAAATGAGATAACATGTGGAGAGAATGCTTCCTTAATAGTATGTTCCTGTGCAAATGCTCTTTTGTTCTTCCCGTACTGCGTTCTTAAATCCTGTCCTGTCTAACCAACAGGTTTAAGAAGTTTGGAGCAGGTGTGATGAGTATTTCTTCTCTTCTTTTTGCAGGTTAAGCCCATCCACAGTAATGGCCGCAGCCTTACCCAGGACCCTGGGGGAGTTGCAGCTGTATAGAATATTACAAAAAGCCAATCTACTTTCTTATTTTGATGCCTTTATCCAACAAGGTGGCGATGATGTACAGCAGCTCTGTGAAGCTGGAGAAGAGGAATTCTTGGAAATCATGGCACTCGTAGGCATGGCCAGCAAGCCCCTTCATGTTAGAAGGCTCCAGAAGGCTTTGAGAGACTGGGTTACAAACCCTGGCCTTTTCAATCAGCCGCTGACTTCCCTGCCTGTCAGTAGCATACCCATCTATAAATTACCGGAGGGATCGCCCACGTGGCTGGGAATAACCTGCAGCAGTTATGAAAGGAATAGCAGTGCCCGGGAACCTCATTTGAAACTCCCCAAGTGTGCTGCCACCACCTGTGTGCAGAGCTTGGGACAGGGGAAGTCGGATGTGGGGAGCTTAGCGCTGCAGGGCGTCGGTGAGTCCAGACTCTGGCAGAGCCACCATGCCACCGAGAGCGAGCACAGCCTCTCCCCAGCCGACCTGGGCTCCCCCGCCTCCCCGAAGGAGAGCAGCGAGGCGCTGGACGCTGCCGCTGCACTCTCCGTGGCTGAGTGCGTGGAGCGAATGGCCCCCACGCTGCCAAAAAGTGACTTGACCGAAGTGAAAGAGCTGCTAAAAACCAACAAGAAGTTGGCCAAAATGATTGGTCACATCTTTGAGATGAGTGATGACGATCCACACAAAGAGGAGGAGATTCGAAAATACAGTGCAATTTATGGCAGGTTTGACTCGAAGAGAAAGGATGGGAAACACCTCACGCTTCATGAGGTAGAAGCCCACCTTGTTCTTTGTGTATACGTGGCGTGTTGTGTTCCTAAGAGAGAAGTTGGCAGCAAAGGGGAGATACGCTGCCTGAAAGCAGTAGTAAAAAGATTTAGGTGTCAGCAAAATATAACTCTTGTGATTAGACCGTATTTATTGTGTTAGGGTGTTTTTGTGTTGAACTCAAACACGTTGAGCTTTGGAACTACAGGGTAGGATGGCGTTTAGAAAAATACCAGAATTTAAACAGTGAAAGCATGAAGTCTTTCCATTTACAAGGCAGTTTGTTTTTTAATGAAGAAATAAAAGGATTTTAAATATAACTATTTATTTAAAAAACATTTTGTAGACTTTTTTTTAGAAAAAAACATTTTGTAGAAATAACCAGAACTTAAAGTAATTTTCAGCGAGCATAGAAAACAAAATTATATTAGATGAATATTGGAAGAATTATAGCTTTGGTTTCATTTATCTGGAATTATTTATATTGTTTTGGTTTGACTTTTGGCATGAAAAATTCTCATTGTTTTATCTTCGTAGCACTGTATGCACAAATATTCTGCTTAAGTATAAGAGTGCGTATATAGCGCCTGCATTTACTCCCTTGCTCTTTGTGTCCATCTGGCCAACACATCAGCTTTAAGATTTAGCTCAAGCACAAGCTTAAATCTTTTTTAGTATGTTTTCTCCCAAGTAGAGTGCCTTTCCTTTCCTTTCTATTTTTATCCGTACATACAGCACTGTCAAGGTGACTTTGACACTTTATTGTGCTTATTTGTATACTAGTCTGTCCTTCCCAGTATACTTTGGGTTTCTTCAAGGCAGAGATAATGCCCCATTCTTATATCCTCAGAGTCTAACGCACCCAATAAATTCTTGGAAGATAAATGCATTTCCAAAAGTTAAAAAGGCTATTTCATAGCTAAATTTTTTGTAGCTATTATCCTTTAGAAGAAAGAAAGAAATCCTCTTTAAAAAAATGTTCTGTTGAAGGCACTATTTCATATTTCATGTTGGAAACATTAAATCTTTCCCCCCGGACTTGTACTTTAACATGAAAAAGAATATATACATATTGTAAAAGTATTCAATCATTAAAAAATGATGTAAAGTAATTGAATCTATAAACTTTCAGATACTTTTCTTTACATGTACAAATATGGAATCATATTTGGTACACTGTTTTCCGAATTCCTTTTTTTTTAAACTTAATGTAACAATATACGATTAGGTATCTATGTGTAGTCACTACACATAGAGCTACCTTATTTGTTTATGGGTTGCATTGTGTTTCATAGTATGAATGTGCTGTTTATCTTAACCATTCACTTTTTGATGTCATTTAGGTTGTTTCCATTTTTTTGATATTACACATGGTGGTACATGAACATTATACACACACACTTCCAGACTTGTGCATGTTTTTTCTATAGAATAGATTCCAACATGTAAAATTATGGGATCAAAGAATATGTAGATTTAATATTTTAGTAGATACTGCTATATTGCCTTCTGAAAAAGCTGCAACAATTTACACTTCCACTATCATTATGTGCAAGTGTGCATTTCTCCACACTCTTGCTAATATTGCATTTGTCATTAATCTTTGCCAGTCTAACAGATGAAAAATTTTCATTGCCCAAATTTACTTTCCTTAGTGAGGATGAGTATCTTTGCAGATGTTTAATAGGCGTCCAATTTTATGTTCATATACTTTGTTTTAATATTGGGACTGTTTGTCTTTAAAAAATTGATTGGTAAGAACTGTTTCTATTTTAAGGATATTAACCTTTTGTCTTATGTTGTAAACATTTTCCCAGATTATCATTTGTCCTTTGACCTTTCAGACTGTTTCGCCATGTGGAAGTTTAGTATGGAAGTAGTAATATTTGTTGATCTTGTCCTGTATGATTTCATTAGTCTAATTGTCTATTCCTTCACCAGTATAGAGTTATTTTAATTACCATAGCTAAATAATATATTTTGATATCTGGAAAGGCAAGTGCCCCTTCAATAGTCTTGTTTTGCAGCTTCTGTTTTTTAGGTAATCTTATGCATTTCTCCTTCCAAATGAAATTTTTAATGCATTTGTTAAATTTCCCCCAAATTTTTGTTGGAATTTGATTAGAAATGCCTTAAAGGTGTAGATTGATTTGGAAAAAATTGACATGTTTACAATAATGAAAAATCCCATACAGTAATACAGTCTGTGTATTTACTTATTTAGATCTTTTCTATTCCTCAGTAATTTTATAGTTCTTTGTTCACATAGGTTTTTGCACATTGCTTGTTAAGTCAAATACTGTGTATAATATATTACAGTGATGCATTGCTTAATGACCAGGATACGTCCTAAAAATGCGTCATTAGCTGATTTTGTCATTGTACAAACTCATAGAGTGTACTTACATAAACCTAGACGGTTTATATAGCCTACTGCACACCTAGGCTACATGGTACTTATCTTATGGGACCGCCATTGTATATGCGGTCCACCGTTGACCAAAACGTCGTTATGTGATGCATGACTGTATGTTTAGTGTCTATATTATATATATATTTATAAAATTTAAATTATTTACTAAATTTGTTTATATAGGATATGCAAATATATAAGATATAAAAGAGATGTAATTGTAAATGAAATTTTTTTCTTAATTGTTATCACTGGCTGATTTTTGTATATTAATCTTGTTTTCAGCAATTTCACTGTCTGATCTTTTTAAATAAATGATTTTAGATATGAGTGGATACTGGAGCTTAAGATCAGAGAATTGGTCAGCAGAATTACTTAATCACAGTGAATCTGATTTTATCTATTTTGGGCATATCTTTTTGCAGTTAGGTATTGTTGCCATACAATAACTGACTCACAACAACTTGTGAGTAGATCTAGAAAATGCACTTAGCATTATAATTCAGATACACTTTGGCACTTTTATTACCTATGAACTAACTAACAGAGGAGTCTACTAAAAGGCTATTATGGTTATCATTAATAGAAAACAGAGGGCAAAACCTGTTGGTAATTTTAGTTTCATGCTTTAATCCAGTTTACATATAATTTTTAAAACGTAGTAGATGAAACACAAAGTTGAGTCAGAAGACCTGTATTTTTATCAAAGCAAAAGTATGTTAAAGAGATGACTTTAGTAAACCCAATCAACTTCACTTTTGTTTTTTTTTTAAATCCTACCTTACTTTAGAAAAAATCTGAAACGAATTATTTCATGCTTTGCTTTTGCTAAGGGGCTCTTTCCTTCTTTGCATAAATAGGTACAGGTGGTATTTAAGTAATGAGACCGTTGTAGGTTTCCCAAAATAAGAGAACACTCAAAATGAATGCCGGTAGGTTGAGGTGTGGGGGTGAGGGCTTTGGAAAATATGGCTTATGTATTTGAAACTTAGACCACTTGTTACTTGTAACTCAAGAATGTGAATCTGGTCCAGTAATATAGTTTAGGATAGTAGTTTATGAATCAGGAAGCTTTCTTCAAACTAGTAACCATCCAAGAGCTTGGTAGAAATTATGAAATCCTGAGGGAATTGAAAGAAGGTACTATTAAGAGTGCCTTTAGGTATTATGATAATTTTGCATTTTTTCACTTGACTATTTAAACTGGGAGAAACAGTTTTGAGTTTTTCTAAATTCCTAAGATTAAACAGTGTTACTAGTTTGTCCTCAATTTCCAATAAGGAAATATATGACTTATTCTTAATTTGCTGTTGGTAGTATTTCTGAGAATTTTCTTCATGTAAACGGTATGGACACTGTTCTTTTAATCTTTCAAGACATAGAGCTAGCTGTATGTCGGTCACTAGTGGATGAAAATCAGGAAGTATCTACACCTGAAAAAAAATTGTCAACTCTCACAAGTACCTCAAATTCTCTTTCTTATGTGCATTTTTATACTTGTTTTCAAATGTATTGTACGGCATACAGTGAAGAATTATGAAATAAATCATTGTTATAAACACTTTTTTTTAAGCTAAAGCATCACTGATGGTCTTAGGACCTGGCTAGGTATGGCCTGGTTTGTAGGAAGTGGAGGAAGTAAGTAAACCAATCTGGGAGAAAATCGTATTTTATACTTTTAACAGAATTGGAAACTTAGAATTTTTAAAAAGCTAGCATGGTGCTGCAGTGAGCGACTACTGTTTTGGAGTATTTGTATCATTTTTCTTTTTTAAATATATCATAGTAGTTATTTAATTATTAGCAACTGGGAACATGAAATCTAGAAAACACTGACAGAAAGTGCTCTTTGAGGGGGAAGCTTGATGAGTCGGCTTCTTATTACAACCTGGGCTGAACTGTGGTTGTTTCTCCAGCCTCAGCTTTTCTACCAGAAGCTTCCTTGTGGGCCTGGAGAGTTCAATCTACTTTTTTGGTCTGTTGGAGCCTGAATTCAGTAACAAAGAATGTGTTATGTTTGTTTTTCTTGGTTTCTGGTAGGATGATGGAAGAAATACTAGAACGTTGTTTTCAGTTTATGTTGAAAAGTTATTTTCTGTGGTTGTGCATAAATTGGTACCTCTGAAATGTCAATTAAAATATCTTACTGACAATCAGAAGTTCTCCAAACTGATTTAGATTTATGAATACAAAAAAGAAACAGCTACATAAAAAGCAACTTGACAAGGGTCTTCAAGGTCATGGTAGCTACTGCTAAGCTGAAATTGAAGTTAATTTATTTAGGAAATCATTCTTTAAACTATATTTTACTTTTAGCTCCAGTAACATTGTGTCTTTCAAAAGCACTAAGGGAAGAAATTTATCTATTGATTCTTTAGCAGGAGGGGAGAAGGCTGAAAATAAATTCCTCCTATTATGCTTTCATGTTCAGCTATGGGTTTAAAATAGGAAGCTTGGGCTTATTATAACCTTGTTGTCGGTAGCCACCTTCTCTGAGAATAAGCCAGTGTAAATTACAGTCAGAAATCTGGGGAGAAGGATGTTAAATAGCTAATCTATATCACACCATATACTGTAAACCATAACACATTCTAGATGGATTAAATACTTAAGTAGAAAAAAAAACTGTTAGACTAAATTATAGGAGAATGTTTACGTATTATTAGGGTGAGAAGGGAATTTCTGTGCATGGCACCCAAGACAAAAACTATAAGACTAGTGACAGACTATTAAAAAAAAACCAAACCACTACATATGATGAAGAGTTAATGCTCTTAAAACATAAAGAATTCCTGAAGTCTGTGGGAAACAAAGTAGTGAGTAACAGAAACAGGTGACTGCCATGAGCAAGTAGATTTTAAAATAAGTCAAAAACATAAGAAAATGGTTCAATTTTCTAGTTAAAGAAATGTACATTATAACCAAATATCATTGAAAGCATATCAAGTTGGTAAAGCTTTTAAAAGGTAATAACTAGTGTTGGTCAAGATTCTGGGAAAAGGACTCTCCATATAATTGTTGGTAGTGTTACAATTTGGAGCAACTTTTCTGGAGAGTAATTTGATGAAACATATAAATCTCTTAAAATTTATTATATTCTGTGACCTAACAAGTCTATTTGTGGGAATTTATTCCAAGGAAATAATTGAATATGCATGCAAAGATGCACATTTAAGAATGTTCTTTCAGCCTCCTTTGTAGTACATGAAAAATGGGGGTAGTTTAATGTCCAGAGTGAAGTTGAGGTAAATAATGTATTGCCCTTTCCTGCAGTGGAACATTAAGTGTCTAGGTAGTAAAAATAATATTGTAAAGAATATTTAAAGTCAAATCAGTCAACAGATATTTATTGGCATTCAACTCATGCCAGATGCTGATGTAAACAAACCAAGTCTCTTCCTTAATACCTGATAAAAGTAAAAAATACAGCGTACGTAAGTGAAAGAAAGGAGATTACAAATCTGTATTCACATATACGTTTATATGTGATATATACACAGTGAAATATTGGAATAGTCTACATAGAAATATTAATAGTCATTCTGGATGGAAGGATTATATGCTGCATTTATTTTCCTCCTTTGCTTCTCTGTATTTTGAAAAATTTTAAATAAGAAAAATTATTGTGAATAAAGTGGGATGCCTGGGTTGGGAGAAAGAGTAAATGCCTGATTTCTTATGAGAGGAAAACAAGAACTCACACTAACAACAGCTTTGTGCCGCGTTTGTCTCGTCATTCCCCTCGTTTGAGTCCTTTGAGGTGGTGATGTTACCCGTTTTGCCTCTGAGAAAGCTGAGGCTCTGAGAGGTTTTTACCTGTCCAGAGTCACACAGCTGGTAAGTGTGGAACGAGCTCCTCTCGGGTCTGTCTGCCATCAAATCACGTCCTCTTCTGGCCATCAGTCATGCCTTGAATGAGTATGTTTCTTGCTTTTTAAAAAAGTTTGATATACCTCTTGGCAGTTTCTTACATCTATTTAAATTGACAAAATTATGTGAAAAAAACATTTTCTAGTTTATTGAACAACTATAGGTTTTGAGTTTAGGATAACGTTTACTATTTTAAGTTTTAGTACAAGGTGTTTGGTCAGCTAGCAACTTGGTATTGGCAGTATTTAACACTTAGGTGAAAGAGTAGAATTAGATGAATCTTAGAGATTTAGTGACTCCAAGACCTTGATTTTCCATTATAACCCTAGTTTGTGATAACTCTATTTTTTACTAAGTGATTTGATAAATATTTAGATAAAATAATTTGATTTTTATTCCTGTCTAAGAATTTTCATGTCAGTTCACATTGAAAAAAAAATATCTGTCAGACAGTGTATACTCACTGTTAGGTAGGGGAATATTATCACCGTATATCATATAATCAAATCCCTTGGTTTTTCGTTAGAAAAATGAGATGCAGAACATTTTTTACTTTTTGTTTTTATTTTGCTTATTTTCCATAACCTCTCATACCTAAACAAAAATAGATAAAACATATAAATAAATAAAACCAAGGTACTGTTTTGATCAGTTTGAGTTCTGAGAGATGGTAGATGAACTTGGTTTTCTTCTGAAATTAGGCATTAGAACTAATTAGGAATAAAGACCATCCTGATTTTTATACATTATGATTTCATTGTATAATTCTGTGACATTTTCATATCTTTAAGTGAAACATTTTGCCTATTAATGAAACAAAAATGTTTATAATTTTTACAACTTTATTTTGGATATGCAGCTCACTGTTAATGAAGCGGCCGCTCAGCTCTGTGTGAAGGATAATGCCCTGCTGACGAGAAGAGATGAACTTTTTGCCCTGGCTAGGCAGATTTCTCGAGAAGTCACCTATAAATATACTTACAGAACCACCAAGTAAGTGTTTAACTAATTGGCAGTATTTTTTGTATTGCTTGATAGAAGTAGAGTGTGAAACACCGTCCATTGATAGAATATAAGCATTTCTCAAAAAGTAGGAGTATGATTGTAGTTCTGTAAAATTAAACAGCGAAGTGACTTTTCAAAACATTATCGCCGAAGTGCTTTTTGTTGTTTTGTTTAATTCTCTGTTGTCTTCTGTCTTTTGAAAGACAGCTCCCTAGCACTGCAGCATTGTTCTGCGGGTGGTTTTAGACATTCGTCTCTCACTCAGATGCTTTGGTTTTGAGTGTGGTGATGGGATTTAGTTAGTCAGCGTTTATAGACTTACTTGTACGCCCACTAACTACATGAACTTGTTGAACTCACAGAGGAAGCAGAGTGGTTCCTTTTGCAAGGTGTTTGCAATCTAATGAGATTAGCTGAATAGAGAAAGACTCCATTGACCAGCATTTAAGGGAAAATTGGAAGATAATTTTATTACTAGCAAGTAGAATATGGAACATGCATTTGAAATAAAAAACTTAATGTTGAAAGGCAATGGCGGTTTTAAAATTTAATGTAAACGCGCCGTATTTTTCTTGGTCTTATCTTCACTTGAACCCTAAGCATTGTCTGCAGGTGTGGGTCCATTTTGCTTTTGCTCCCTGGGTTCCACGTGGACCCTGATTTCCAGCGCTCCATCAGTCGCGCAGGCCCGCCTCTGAGTAGATGCTCATGGCCTCTTGCATTAGAGTAACTGAGAGGTGTGGAAAACCACGTCCTGAGCACCCTCCCCAGCCCTCATAAATCACGGTCTCTGGGGGTGGAGCCTTTGAATCCAAGCTTTCATAAGCATCCCAGATAATTCTTGTGCGTATTCAAGTTTGAAAACTACCGTTACAGGCATTTGCTGTCACCACCGTTATTTTCCCTAACTCATAGCAGCTTCCTTTTCTACCCTGTCTCGAGAGCCCGCATATTCACAAACTGACAAGTAAAATTATGAAGACTAAAGGGAAGAGAGTAGGAATATGCAGCAGTATTGCAGGATTATTTAGAGTTTTTTTTTTTTTGGCTAATCAAGAGCTGATTTAGTGATTTTTCATTTTCCTAACTGTATTATACAAAATTTACTTTTTGAGTGCTTTATTTAAATGTTTTCTTTAATCAAAGTAATACACGTACATGATTTAAGAAGTCATGTAGTACACAGGGCTTATAATGAAACTCAGCAGGTCCCTGCTCCCACCTCCCGCCCCTCCTGAATACACACCCTAGCGGCAACTGCTTCCAACCATTTTTGGCTGTTTTTTGTAGTATTTACTTGTATATTTCTTTTTTAAGTTAAACATATTTTTAAATACATAACACTTTTACATAATATAGAAGCCAAAACTATATAAATAGGTCGTACAAAAAAGTTGCACTCCCATTCCTCTCTTTTTACCCTGTTCCTCTTCTCAATGTAGGTAGTTTTATTAGGGTCTTTTTCATCCTTCCAGTGTTTGTTTATGTACATGCAAACAAATATAAATATATTTTCATCTGTTTTTCAAAAAGCAATAGGTAGCATGGGTCTACATTATTCTATATTTTGTTTTTAACGTGTCTAGGAGATCTTACTATATTAGTACATATATATGTTCCTCATTATTTTTTAGAGCTGCATGGTATTGCGTTGTGTGGATATACCATGATTCATTTAGTCAACCCCCCATTGATGGGTACTTGAGTTGTTTTAGTCTTTTGTCATTAGAAATAATACCACAATAAATAACATCATACATATCATATTTTGTTGATTCTGAGATGTAGTTTTTTTTTTTTTTTTGCTGAGGAAGATTGGCCCTGAGCTTACATCTGTGGCCAGTCTTCCTCTTTTTTTGCTGAGGAAGATTGGCCCTGAGCTAACATCTGTTGCCAGTCTTCCTCTGTTTTTGTATGTGAGCTGCCACCACAGCATGGCCACTGGCAGACGAGTGCTGTAGGTCCACGCCTGGGAACCAAACCCGGGCCGCCAAAGCGTAGTGTGCTGAACTTAACCACTAGGCCCCACCAGGGCTGGCCCGACTTTTTTTGCATTTTAACGTCTTTTATATTGAAATATAACTTAAAATTGATGGCTTGTCATAGTTCAGTTGGCAATAGTATTTCATATATGTGTAGGTAGCTCTGTGGGATAGATTCCCAGCAGAGGTTATCTCTAGGTCAAGGGAAAATGCATCTGTAGTGTCCATAGATAGACAAAATACATTTTAATGTCATGTAGCCTTAGGCATTCATCTTAAATGGCCATTTTTGTCATTTTATCCAAAATTGTTCCTACTGATCCATAAAGGTATCCTCCTTGATTGTTTTTCCTTTTTCATTATATGATAATCATTACATACTTATTGAGTACTTTCTGTGTGGGGAGTTCTTAGGTAGTGGCCTTTTAAAATGTATAATATAATTGTGTCTGCATATTTTCCTAATGTTAATTTAGAAATGATGAAAAGGCTCTTTTTCATTATTTCAGTGTTCATTATGAATGTCTTATTTCGAGTATCAGGGTTTCAGGGTTATATGTTTTGGTAGAAGTGTATAGATTGAGATGCCTTTAGAATAAGATTTGTTACCTTCTCAAATTTTTCTCTCTCGCCCATTCCCCTCAGGTCAAAATGTGGAGAAAGAGATGAATTATCCCCAAAGAGAATTAAAGTGGAGGTATGATTACATGTTATAGTTTCTTATGCTAATAATGTTTGCTTACTAGTTCAAACTAAATAAAAGGATGGTCCCATAAATGAGTGAAAAATGTGAATTGTAGAATCTTAAAAACAATACAGAATTTTGTTGCTTTGAAGTATCTCTAGTAATTTGAACTATGATACTAAGGAAGTTCTTAGGAGGAAACAATAATGATGAGATTGATGTCCAGTCAATTTGTCAAAGGTTGATTTGTAAATAGGTATTTCTTACAGATTTAAAACTCTTTACTAGTTAAAATATTCCTTTTATAATCTTGTTTACATCATTAGTCATCTTATCAAATACATTCAGAGGAGCTAAGGTTTAATTTCTTTATGTTAACTGAGAGAAACGACAATTTATAGCTGCAGGTTACAGCGACTTTAATGTTATTAAAGGCTCTTTTAGAGGATCATGTTGAGGGTGTCCTTCTGATTTTAGACCTGTAAGTGGCAAGGTGGGAGCTGAGTAAGAAAAATGTGCTTTTCATAGGGCTCTCAGAACAGTAGAATGGTTTCAGAACTACTGTTCCTTAATTTGGAGTGAATACTGTTTTAAAGGCCAGTCTGCAGCAGAGTAGAAATTTGAAGTCAGGTGGTTCCTTCGTTTTTTTCTTGGGCAGGGGAATGGGGGTCGGTACTCTCTTAGTCATCCATTATTTAATTGCAAGTTAAAGCAAATGAGCTATGTTTGACTACCCTAAATTTCCATCATCAAGTTCGTCTTACTAAGCATCTGTTTGTATGGAATAATCTTTCATTTGTAACAAAGCCAGAGTTATCTTTTAAAAACATAAATCCCTTTCTTGCTTAAATCTTTCCAGTGGCTTTCTACTGTACCTAGAATAAAATCTACACCTTTTCCTGAGGCATCTGGTACCCTGTGTGATCTGACTCTGGCTTCCATCTCTGACCTCATCTGCTACCACACTTCCCCATTCTTACCGTGTCCCATCTGCAATGACCACTTTCTGTTCCCGGAACACGCCAAACTCCTCTGTGCCGCAGCAACCAGTGTTTATTCCCCCACCTAGATGTTTCTCTAGACCTTCATGTGGCTCCAGCTCTTAGCTGAGAGGTTCCACTGACTTCCCTGCCTCCCTTTCTAAAGGGGCACCCTTGCCCCAAAATCCCATGTAGGCTTATTCTCCTGGTTTATTTTGTTTATTTCCATAGACCTGAAACTATTACGTATTTGTTTTTAATTTATTATCAGTCTGCCCCATTAGATGAGAATAGAGCTCTTATCTGTCAGTCTTACTACTTTACATTCAGCGTTATACTAGTACCTTGCGCTTAATAGGCACTTAATAAAATCTGTTAGATGAAATAATGAATGGCTATGGATAAGCATCTTTACTTCTAAAAACTTTAGCCTAAAACAGTAGTTCTCAAAGAAAGAAGAATTTTGTCTAAAAAAGGGCACATTAAAAAAAATTGTGCTTATATTTGTAATCTACCTCACTATTAGCTCTGGAGCAATGTTTAAAATGGGTTAGTCTCAGATACCACTCAAAAAATTTGTTGAAATTATCTGAAAGGCCATTGTAAGATGATCTAACTAGTGAAATAGTTTTATCCTATTGTACCCCAGGATGATGAGTGAGAGAGGATCCCTGTGGGTTTAGCTGTTAGTGACTCTGCCACTGAAAGGGAAGGCAGGTAAACAAACTGCTAAGAAGGCTTGTGCCATCGAAGGATTTACAGGAAAGAAGGTACAAAACCCACCCAGTGGCCAGGAAAAGTAGTCAGCTGCTAGGCTAAAAATTATGTCCACCTCTGTTTCTCACCATTGGCCCCCATGTGATGATGATTCAAGCTGCTGTCACATTTAAGCCCCACTTTCCTTTTATCTGTCTTCAGCGATCACTGCTGAACATTGAAGTTTGAGATCCTGACTCTCATGGCCTGTTTGAGCTGTAGTTTTTTCTCATTAGGTTATATTGGTAAGTCTTTCTGACCATCTCAATGGCCCTGATCTGAAATTTAAGCAAACTGTTTCTTGTCTCCAGTTACAGTGTTTGAGTTTCTTTTTAGTAGCTCAGAGTTGAGTTAAAGCATTAGATGGGGCCTTTCTGTTTCTTTAAGTGTATTCCTGTAGAGATAATTGAATTTTAGTTCTGTAGGGTTAGTTTATTGTTTTATTAGAATTCACAAAGCCATTTGAACAGTTCTGGATTTAGAATTAAGATAATCTGTGTTTCCTTTTTCTGTGAAGAACAATTCTAACCCTTCCTAAATAAGACAAGAGACTAATCAACCCCAAGCTTCTTTAAATGCTCTAATAGACACTAAACTCTTGATTTTGTCTCCCAGAAATAAGTAGGGACTTTAGCTTTGAATTTAGGACAATGGTTTACTTTTTTGTTGGTTTGTTTGTTTTTAATTTTGTTTGGTTTTTGCTTAGGTTTTTAAAACCACTCATGTATTGCAGGGCATCAGTATCTCTTCAGAGTGTGTGTGTGTTATGCATGTGTGTGTACCTGCACGTCTCCAGTGTTATCCTTTGCAAAATATGCAGTGTTGGCATAAATCCTTGTCTAAATTCTCTTGTGGTGTACTCTGAGTCAAATTTGAGATAGTAGAGCTGTTCGTTTCGTTCTGAAAGCTGATACTGAGGTAGTTACTATTGGCTGTATAAGGTTACTTTTGCCTTAAGAAGCCTTTTCAGCAAGTATTAGTGCTTTGTTTATGTCTCCCTTCTGTGTGGCTGCTGGGGAGGGGAGAATTTCTCCTCTTGAGAGGAGATTAGGGGAGGCGTTATTGAGGAGCTCTCATTTGAGCTGAGTTTTAAAAGAAGGGTAGAATTTCAAAAGGTAGGGCTGCTGGGTGGAAGGGTGTTACAAAGATAGACTAGCATGGGTGAAGACACAGAGGTAAGAAAATACTGTGCATGTTTAGGGAACAATGAGACCAGTTTGTCCAGGAGATGTGACTGACACAAAGGACTTCATAAGTAGAACTAGAGAGATTTTAGAATTCTTTGAGCATACTATTTCTCTTATTTCATTTGAGTGTTTCTTTTGTGATTCTTAGCTTACTAATTCTCTATTAAAAGAAAGTAATATAAACTTAAGCTTAGCTCATTGTAAAGTATAAGATTCCTAATTACTAAGCCCAAATTAATGAGACAGTGTTTTCTCTGCCTTTTCCTCTTTATTTTTCCAGAATCCTTTACAACAACCAATGAGCATACATGCCATGTTGCTGACTCTCTTTCCATCTTAAAGATAATTTTTACAGTGAACAAAAAGAAATGTAAAGTCTAGGAGATGAAATAGAAGTGACATCAAATAGACATGTAAGGAGAAGAGAAACATTTCCTTGCGTGCCATTGTCAGAGTCTTAAGACACACTAATCAATCTAGTGCTTTGTTCAAGCTCAGGGAGATGTTTTCTTGTTGCTAAAGGCTGTGTTTTCCTGATCTATTTGTGACGGGTTGGGTGGAATGAAGTTGTAAAATCCTTGTCTGATTTTCTCCTCATATTATGTACTAGATTGTTCCCCCTTAAGGGTGGTTAGTGATTTATTTGTTTTTACTTTTTTAATTTTATTTATTTATTTTTATCTTATTTTTTTCTTCCCAAAGCCTCCAGTGCATAGTTGTATATCCTAGTTGTAGGTCCTTCTAGTTCTTCTATGTGGGACGCCGCCTCAGCATGGCCTGATGAGCAGTGAGTAGGTCCATGGCCAGGATCTGAACTGGTGAGCCCCGGGCCACCAAAGCGGAATGCTCGAACTTAACTGCTGCACCACCAGGCCGGCCCCTGATTGTTTTTACTTTTGTTGTTGTTGTTTAATATCAGTATATGTGTTGTAGTGAAGTACTCGGGTTAATCTGTCATCCTTAAATAGCGCTCCTTCCTCCAGGGCATGTTAGATGTTAAAAAACAGAGATTTTAAACTTTTATTTCTGTACTTCCTAGAAAATATGAGATAGACATGGAGGCAAAAGCCGTAGTTTTGGGTGGAGGCCTTAGGGTACCATCATTCGGAATGAAGTCTCTAGGGAGAGCACTTCGTTAGCCTCTGTGTTAGTAAGCGAGGTTTGGGAATACTTCTCCTGCCCAGGCTAGATGAGTAGCTTGTCCATCTGCACTACAACCCTCTGTGTGAATCCACTTGCAGCTAAAATGAAAATAAATTATGTTTATTCTTTTATTTCTCATCAGAGACCCCAAGACTAGCTCTGGGGCAGATGTAAAAATAACTACTTTTTATTGACTCTGTTGCATGCCTGTCCCTGCCGGGCATTTGAAGTTCCTTATCACAAACCTTCTTGTCTGCCCTGTATGGAGGCTTTGTGGTTTCCATTTCCAGCCAAGGAGAGACCCAGAGAGGCTCAGTGACTTGACCAGGTTGCCACGTTGGTATCTAGTGGCAGAGCCATGGCTTCAAATCTAGATCTGACTCCTAAACTTCAAAGCAGTCCCACCTTCCTGGGTGCTAATGCTCATTCGCAAAGCACTTAAGTATGAAAAACACTACTGGGTTTATACCTTTCCTCCTACTAGTGTGATGTGAAGGGCAAAGTGTACACAGGACAGGGAGTCTTCGAAGACGGGGAGAGAGTGACGGTTATCATTTTCTAATGCAAGGAAGCTTATCCAAAAAAATTTTTAGTTTTGAGTAGAAAATTTAACAGTATAAATTACAAAATGTATTTCAGTGTAAGTCATTACCATTTGACAAACTAATTGTTTAGAATGAGGAAAAACAGTGTGTTGGGGAGATGGAGTAAATCAAGAAAAAATAGTTTATTTATACTGTACCTGTGACAGAATGTATCTAAGACAGCTTGACAACCAGTTAAAGGAGATGAAAAACCAAGAGCCAAAGTCCCTGGCACTCTTGTCCTCCCCTCATTTTTTTAAACATTAGTTAAAAGTGGATTCAGTTGATAGCCTTTCCTTTTCATTACGAACTTATCATGTTCCATGAACAAACACTGTCATTACCTCCAGTGTTATAAGTAA